ATAACCCGAAAGATATTTTTAAATGTTTTGTCTGAATATGTCGAGACCTGTCTCTCACTACCCAGCCTGAACGAAAATTACTGCCAACCAACAGAGCGAAAGAATTTTTTCTAAATATTGATATAAATTACACTTTTCACACAAAATAGATTTTAGAAATACGTGTGCTGGGCTGTAAATGGCTCATGACAGAGGAAACAACAACAAATAGCCAACACTGGACTACCAACACGATTAGAATACTTCAAATAAACGCCCAAAAGAGCAAGGCAGCCAGCTCGTTGCTTATTAAGACAGCAAACGACACAAACAGCGATAGCATAATAATCCAGGAACCCTACACTATTGACAATACCATCGTCAGATTTGGGAACTGGAGAAGTCTCGCAGGCCACGTAAATACACGGCCGAAGAGCGGGATTCTCGTTTGCAACGACAACTTAAACATCGCCCCCATCCCGTGGCTTTGCTCGCCAAACATATGCACCGCGGTGATACACCAAGAGAATCCAATATACTTTATCAGTGTGTATTTTTCACCCGACGAAAATGATGAGAGCTGCATCAACGAGCTGGCAAGTGTAACAAACAAAATTGACATAAAAAATGTCATCATTGCTGGAAACCTGAACGCAAAATCAGATCTGGTTTCACACTAAGAAAGATAAAAGGGGAAGGTTGGTGGCAGATTTTATGGACGCAAACGACCTCATATCGGTCAACATGACAACCCACCCAACTTTTCACACTCCCCATGCGGAGGGCTGGACGGATGCCTGTCTGGTTTCTGCAGACCTAAGTCATCGTATCGCTGACTGCGAGACGTTGCTTATTTCATCCGCCAGCGATCACAGATACCTCCTGACCCAAGTCTCCAAGTGACATCATAATCGAAGAACGACAAACTAATTATCATAGAATGCAAACTAACTGGGAGGCATTTCAAGAATGTTTTAGCAGGCAATGGAGGACCTACCATTTTCCTGATATAAAGACTCAGGAAGACATGAATGGATACGCAAAATTAATTACTGACTCCATTTTACTAGCCAAGAAACAAGCCACCAAAGCAAAAATTACAAAACAGAGAAAGACTTACTGGTGGACAGATGAATTATCCATACAAAGGGATAGGGTCTCCAAGATCCGCAGAAAGGCCTCCAGAACGAGAGACGAGTAGGAGAAAGCAAGACTAAAAGAGATATATAAGACAAAACTAAAAGAATACAAGAAACTGATAAATAAAACGAGAACGAAGGCGTGGAGGGACTTTTGTAGTGCGTCCAATAAAAACGGTCCCTGGGACATTCCCTACCACGTAATCTACAAAAAGAGACAAAAGCTAAACATCCCCGACATCATCGAAATAAGTCACCAGGAAAACAACATCATTCCCGATATCCAACAAAATATCACAGAAATCATGGATTATCACTTCCCGATGGATATCGCAGAGGAGGACTTACCAATACACAATACTATCCGTACTGGCGCCGAAAACTACACAACAACGAACAACGACCAGCTATTCTCATTCCGGGAGGTGGAGCGGGCAATCACATCACTCGCCAATAAAAAAGCGCCCAGTTTGGACATCACACCCGAAATGGCGAAAGAAGTCTTTAAGGCCATCCCAATCTCGTTGGTCCACTTATTCAACAAATGCTTACAGACGGGCTTCATCCCGAGCGAATGGAAGGTGGGGAATATCAAACTAATCCCCAAGGTAAAAAACCAACCGAGCCCAGTCACTACAGGCCATTAAGCCTTCTCCCGGTACTCGGGAAGGCCCTGGATGAACTAATTATCGAAAGAATCAATTGGATATTACACCAAGGAAACCATCAAAGCCCCAAACAATACGGCTTCCGTCCTGGAAAATCAACAACAGACGCCGCCCTACAGGTTAAAACTTACATTAAAAACGCTTGGAAGAAAAACAACCATGCAATCTTAATCAGTATAGACTTCAAGAAGGCGTTTGACCATCTTTGGTGGCCGAGCGTCCTACACCGGCTAAAGACAATAAAATCCCCAATGAATATCTACAGAATCACCAAAAATTACCTCACAAACAGGAAGGTGGTATTCAGGAAGGGAACTATAAACATCGAAAAGAACATCAACAGGGGCTGTCCACAGGGCTCAAGATGCGGACCAGGTCTATGGAACCTAGTGTTCGACAGCCTATTAAACTTGTTCCCAAACTCCGAAGAAGCGTCCATCCAGGCGTTTGCCGACGACCTACTGTTAATGGTTGCCCACAGAAATAGCATTAGACTAGCAGAAATCTCCAACAAACATCTGGAACACATCTACAACTGGAGCACAAACAATAAGCTGCCAATAAATTTCGAGAAATGCCGGGCTCTAGTCTGCACCCGTCAAAATAAAGGCGGAAGACTACAAAGGGCACCCTGCATCTACATCGGAGGGAAAAAAATAAAGGTCGGCCAGGAGCTAAAGTACCTCGGCATATACTTCGACGAGAAGCTAAACTGGCAGCATCACATCAAGCAGCTATACCAGACTTCAATCCAACGTGCAAACGTGTTAAAATGGATCACGGGAAAAGATTGGGGATTAAATTTTAAAAACAAGAGAACTATTTATAAGGCAGCCCTTGAACCCGCTCTGTTGTATGCCATTCCAATCTGGTACGAAGCATTAAACAACATTCATGCAAAGAGGCAGCTGCTATCGATCCAGAGGCGCTACACCATACAAGTCTGTAGGGCTTACCGTACAGCGCCCACCAACGCCCTGCTAGTTATGGCCGGAATAACACCGATCCACATAAAGGCCATAAGTGTAGCCTACAAGTGGCTCATTAGTAAAAATATAAGCATTCAACATACGACAACAAGGCCGAGCAACGGGAACGAGAATGAATATACAAGAGGAATCTCGGACATAATAGAAACAATTAACAAAAACGGAATGGAAAGCATGCAGACAACCGGCATGGAAAGACGTCACCCACGCGAGGATAACACCTATGTAGTAAGCCTTAACCCGGAAAACGACGGAAACATACAAATTACATGGGACGTCTACACAGACGGGTCAAAGAGCGACGAAAAAACAGGTGCCAGTTTCGTTATAATAAACAATCAATGAAAGGCAAAATACCAAGCCTACCTCAAGATGGCCTCCTACTGTACAAACATACAAGCGGAACAGTGGGCATTATACAGAGCAATCAAGTATGTCACGGAGAACAACCAAAGATATAAAGGCCATATAAAGTTTCATACAGATAGCCAAACGGCACTTAAGATCCTCATGAACAAAAGAAGGTATACCGGCCTCTCGCAAGAACTAATATCAGCGGCCAATAATCTGGGGAAAACCAAGAAAGTCATCTTCAACTGGGTACCGGGACACCAGGGAATCCCCGGTAATGAACTCGCAGACAAGCTGGCAAAAAGGGCTGGCATATTAGACGGTGAACCTACTTATAAAAGACTTCCTAACACATGGCTTAAAAATCAACTGCACACGCTTGAAATCAGCCAGTGGCAGCGTGATTGGGACTCTGCCGATGCTGGCAGGACTACTCACAACTACATCCCATCTATCCATCTCCGCTTAAAGACCAAACATTACACTCCTGACGCCGAAACCTCGCATATTCTTACTGGCCACGGCAACTTCGCCTCCTACCTTTGCCGATTCGGCAAACGAGAGGCTAACACCTGTAACTGCGACGACTTAAGCGAAGGTGATGGCAACCATCTACTCTACGACTGTCCAACCTACGAACAGGAAAGGCTCCCGTTTATGGGGACCTGCCTTAAAAACGGTCTCAACTGGCCCCCAAGACCGAAGGACATTTTTAACAACAAAGAGGTCTGGAACAGCCTCAAGAAATACATCAAAAACACAAAGGCGCTGTGCAACAACTATCGTACTGTGACCGCGACATAGGACTCGTCATCTACCAACCACCCCAATGCCAGGCGGAGTCGAGCCGCATCGTTAAAGGACATTCGAACGGCTGTTGGAACAGAACTTTCGGTGGATCAATAACTCTGTATTAGCTTCTGGAATCCACAGAGGCTGTGTAGGCAGCCGTATCGCCTTGTATCGTCATGTATCATACGTGTTGTATAATTTAACTCGCGTATGTGTAATGTAAGCGTACCTTGTAAATGTCAAATTGCGTTTTCGTTATCTCATGTGTTGTAAACGCGGCAAAATGGCCGTGAAGCTGTTTTTCTGTTCTTCAAACCTATTAATGTAGTAATTATATATCATATATGTTAGTTTTAAGTTTCCTGTTGTAACACGCGCGGCGATCGCAGCGCCGCCACGTATCCTTGGAACACGCAAATTGTATCTGTTTTTCCTACTTTAATCTTGTTACCCTGTAAATATAATTATGTTGCCATCTATGTACTGTGTACAATATCGATGTAAAGACTATATTGTAATCACGCTATAGTTAATTGTAAATATTTGTAATTGTCTGTACTCAGTTTTATTAATAAATGCGATGCGGGCGCCCATGGTTCCTCCCATGCATTATTTCACACTTTCCTATCTTACTTTCTCTTCACACTTCGACCACAAGTTCTTCCTTCTTTCCTCTTCCAACAGGGCCAAGTCCGTAAGCAAGAAACGGATAGCTCTCTCTTTCTTTGATCTAATGTCTAATGTGAATGGCTCACGTATTTGTAAAATCTAAGTGACTCGTACAACATGGAATTCATATAAAACGGAAAAATCAACAGTGTTATAGGGGGTCGACTGTACATAATTCCAAAGAGGAGACTTGAAGCAATGCGGAACAACACCACAATATGCCAGTTAATATTTACTGTGTTAAATATAATCTAAGTCTTTTAATTAAAGAATTTTAAAATAAATAAAATGTGTGTAATTTCAGGATCTCTTTCAAGCAAATTCATTCAGAAAGAATACATTTTGCATGCGGTGAATCACGCTACATATTATTGTGGTAAAGAAGTGACTTTCTTTTATAATTCTGGTGATCGACGTTTTGCATTTACTAAAGAGATAAAAAATTCGACTTTTATAGAAGTAGAAAAAAATTACGTTAAAATTGTAAGTTATTAATATTATTTATTTATCAGTAATGTTTAACAATTTCATAGTTTAAATTCTTATTGCATAATTTTTAATTGTTTATAGTTTATGATACCAGTATTGTAGATATTTTCAAAACTGCATTGTTGATTTGTTGATTACAGTCGACCCCCCCTATAACACTGTTGATTATTCCGTTTTATATGAATTTCATGTTGTACGAGTCACTTAGATTTTACAAATACGTGAGCCGTTCACAGCCCAGCACACGTATTTGTAAAATCTAAGTGACTCGTACAACATGGAATTCATATAAAACGGAATAATCAACAGTGTTATAGGGGGGGTCGACTGTATTGCATTTTTAACTTCCCGATCTGTGGCCAGTGATAAAGCTGACTTTCTGGCTGGCAACTGGATATTTTATAATTTTAATTAGGTATCTTAGACTTAAACAAGAACAGATTTTTATAAAAAGGCTTTCCTGGTTGCTCCCTTCATAGCACATATCTCGAGATGCCATATCTTATCGAATGAGAATATAAATTTTTTTTATCTAAATAAAATAATAATAACTTAATTTCCTTTAACTTTGCTTATAATTTAATATAAAATACTGTAGAAGGTATTTTATAAAAAACCTTGAATTTAACAATACTTTTTTATTTTTTGCTTTTTTACACTGTGGCAATTAAAAGAGCATTTTCCCACTTTTGTCGTGAATTTATCCAAACTTCAGGACTATTGTATGGTGAATCAGAGACTAGACATAATCAAGACTTTCTACTCATAAATACTGTTTAGTGGGAGCTTATTCAGATTACGTTCTGAGTTCCACGGGGATATAATGTTATGTTTCACCTTAATTGCATTGTAGAATTACTTGAAATTACGCAAAGCGATTTGCCAAACAGAAAATTTTCTTAGTTGAAGTTTCCATGAAGCACTGCTTTTTAAATACATATACGTTTCTTATACAAATTTTGAAAAACACCATACAATCGACGAACTAAAAGGATATAAAACTTAATTAAATAACTTTGTTTAATTGTCTTATCCACTGTTGGCTTCAATGGGCTTTTTCCACTTGAGCACACTTAAGTCGAATTCGATTCAGGATGATCAAGTATTAGTATATTTCAACGTTTTATTTCGAAACGGTAATTTACGATACTTATATTATTGTTCATACTTTAATCTCTCTTAGACTATTGTTTACTCATACGGTCATTGACAACTGTATCGAATCTGAAAAGTCTCGTAACTAAAAAAAGTTTAATTGTAGAGTGTTTTTGGAACGTGCTGAATTTTTCCACAATAAATATCTATTTATTTTTACAGCATTTATTGAATCGTATGACTTTTTTTATAATTATTGCTGGTTAGAAATAAAGTAATCTCCGTGACATGGACTATATGATATCACTTCCAACTTTTCATTTTGCCAATTACACCTAAATTTGGGTGTTTTTTTACTTTTAGATTTCGAATTTGATTACTGCGCTGTTTTATCAAACTTCTCTTCTGCTTTATATAATATTTCAAAATTTAAATGAGTCTTCGGTATAAATATCCTGTGAAGTAAAAACACCTTTCGGTTTTAAATAAGAGTTTTTAGATATATTTCTAGTTATGACTGTTTACATATAGATCATCTTCGATCTGTAAATTTTAACTAATCTATTTCCGAATTTTTATATTATAGAGCAGGGTTTAGCAAACTGTTCTTTACAGAGAGCCGGATGAGAGAATGACGAGCGCGAGCCGTATAACCGTGTGTGTAGTACAGCACACTGAATACACAATATATAAAGACAATCAGCATATTTATTTACCAATACACAAAACACGATCGCTGCAGCAAGCTCGCAATCGCTTCCCTTAGAAACTTCATTGCAGGTACTGTACTTTCACGAAAAGCGCTCTGATATTCAAAGTCTGAATACTTTATGTTCACTGATTTATCTAGAAATTATATTACCGTCAGATGCAAATATCAGATTGGACCAATTTTGGTACTTTTACTTACACTTATTTACATTTTATTTATCAGTAAGTTTATGTACAGTAAAATTATATGCACGAAATACAATGTTATTACTCTCACTTGTAGCTGTTATTAATTTAACAATATATTATTAATATATTTATATATTTATCAGCTTAACGTGTCATTATTATTAAATATTTCAGTGCGAAAATTATACCATGGCTTCTTGTGAAATGTACAACAGGACAAAAATAGTTGAAAAAAAAATCGTTAATACCTAAGAAATTGCGTCTTGGTATAGACTTCGTAAGTATAAATTAGATGTAACGACTATTTGTTCTATTGTTTAACAATTTAAATTAATGTAACCCTATCTCTGTATAATGTAGTAGTTGAAATTCAATGTGAATATGTTTAAAGTTCAGTTTAATTCAGTTTGCAAACATATCAATGCTAATTTACTGTACAAGATATTCTAAATCATATTGCACGCATCCTCGAGTTTCGTGCATAAAACTTTAAAACTCCTAATCCTTTTTTTTATATGAAAATTTCGGCTTTTTTACATTTTTAGCCAACAATCGAAGATATTTATTTTCTAGAAATTTTATTGCATTATCGTGTATATTTCAATTCATTTAACAGGTTAGATACTATGGAAAATGTTTACTTGTTTGCTTCTGTAAGTAGTCATTATTAGTCTTAATTACTAGCTTTTTCATTGTAATAGAAAATTATAACATGTTATGGTCAATTATATAAAAATTGCTCGGAAAATCCGATGTTTTAAAAGAACTGTGATTTCATACCATTAAAAAATGGACGAACGAGTGTATTTGAGGCACAAAACAAAATAATATAAAAATCTAGGCCATGGATAGAAAAATTATATTTTTCGATGATGGTTTAAACACACGTCGATCTGATCAAGGGACCGTTATTGTTATCAGTAAATATCACATGTAATTACAGAACTTGTATTTTAGGACCTGTTTTTTATTGTCACATATTAACGAAAATAAGTGAGACAAAAGCAAGTATAAATTATATGTATCCTTCTATTTTCTTAAGGTGAAATGTTGGTATTTTTATCATTAGGTCAGGACGTACAGGCACTAAAAATTAAAATTTTTAATTGCTTGCTCTACATATATACAGTAGACTCCCCCTATAAGACGGTAGATACGTTCCGTTCTTTACGAATCGATTTCTTACGAGTCCTTGCCAATCACAGCCCGACACGTGTGAAGTTTAAGGANAATATTTTCTTTAGGATAAAGCGATGAATTGGAACGAAACATTTAGCATGAGATATTTTAAAATATTTGCAGATGTTCTTCATGTTGAGTATGTTTTTTTATACGGTATACGTATATCATATTTAATGTGTTAACATAATTTTACTTGTTCAGGTTACATTTGTTGATTTTTGCAGGAGAGGTAATAAATCTGTATAGAACAATTGTACAGTTTTAATAAGTATTAAAATAATTTAATTTTATTTATTAGACAGACATCGCCATCGGTAGTTCCAATATCAGAGAAACTTACTTGTCGTATACTTCTTCCGTAAATCAGATTCCAACTACATTTGCAATACGTGCTGCAAGACGTTTAGATAAAGCTATTATTTTGGTAAAACCCTTCGATGTAATGGTAATGTCTCAAAAAGCATTATTTTTCTATATATTAAATATATATAATTATATGTACAGTACCTAATTTATATATAATACTGTACAGACGATAGTAATCTCTCCGTGCGTGGCGCTGGACGACGGAATGTAGTTCGGCTGCCCGATGACGTTTTACCGAATTATAGGAGTTTTTTTACCAGGTTTGTACAGATACCGTCGCAATTTTTTCGCTGTCATATAGGAATTCTAATTATAGGAACCCGTCTTATAGGGGGGTCTACTGTACATCTTGTTCATACAATGCGCGTAATGGACTTTTGAAAGAGTTGTATATAGTTTTTTGTTGAAACAGAAAGTTTCTATTTTCTATTCGTTAACCTCTTTAGTACACTTTTCTCCCGAAACTATCATTTTTTAATTCGGCAGTTCTTTCGTTAATCTGCTGATAACTACTCCAAGATGTCAGTGTTCTTGTGTGTTTGTGTATTAGTCAAATGCAAAACACAAAGATGACAAACTCGTTTACTTGTTATTCGGATTTCAGATAAACTCTGATAAGCTAATCTTTGTTTTAGATCTTGTAGACTGATCCGAAATACGCAAATTACAAGCAATGCAACTGACAGTTATTTTTAAATTAACGCCCATTGACGAGATAACTCGTCAAGTTTACATAATATATGAATTAAGTATATATAAAATAAAATACATAAATATATATATAACATATAAAGTATATATATATAGTATAAGTATATATATATATTATACAGTAGAACCTCGATTATCCGGACTAATTGGGGATGAAGGTAGTCTGGATAAAAAAAAATTCGGATAAGGAAAAATTCTGATAATCAAAACAAATACTATAATTTGCCTTTTAATGATAATACAACACGTTTTCTTTTCGATGACATATCGGTAATATTAAAAGTAAATACTGTATTTAAATCGTGATCAAATTTTCAAGAAACAAACGCTCGTATTGAATTCGGACTACTACTGACCAACGATAGCAGACTACCTATTGTTTGAAAGGCCCTCTGGTGGCGCAAGAAGACGGATTTTATAAAATAAAAAGCAGTTGAAACTGCATTTTTATGAATAAAAATTTGACAAACTATTTATCGTTTTATGACGAGTAAAATTTTTTCGTCGCGTTCACGGCTTCTAGGTAATGCGTAAACCTTCGAGGCGCGAGGCCCTTCGGACCGCAAGGCATAGGCGGTGGCCCACGTCGTCTATGCCTTACGCCGCCCTTTGTCATAGAAATGATGTAATTTGAAAATAAATTACCAGTATTTATAAATACGTATGTCAAGTTATATTTTTATTACTACGTAAAATATATTTAAGAGTTTACGACCTCTGTGCTGGGTAAGACGTTGTTGAAACAAAAAAAGTTATGCATTCCATTACGTACATAAACAGTGTCGTAATTCGCCAAGTGCAAATCAGCAAATTCGTAAAATTTTTGTTTATTTTGAACAATCCGGATAATCGAAGATCCGGATAATTGAGGTTTGGATAATGGAGGTTCTACTGTATAAAATATATAAAATAAGTTATATAAATTGTAATTTTTAACACTGTTATTAGAATGTTTCTTATTATTATTACTGAAAAATTTTCAAGCATTGTCTACGATATTTGAAATAACGTAAACGACAGAATAAAAAGTTAATATTAAAGATGAAAGAAGAAACCTTTTATAGAAAGTTTAATAATAAGGAATTTATAATATTAGAGTGGCTATTAATTGAAAAAAAAAATTTATTTCAGTTAGCCTTAATCCACTGTATGAAAATATTGTATTTGTGTAATGTAACTTTTGTTTTAACAGAAAGAATTGCTATAAAGAATAGATAAAATTTTTAAAGGCTTGCACTTTCAACTTTTTTTCAATTTCTATAAGTCTGCACCTAGCTTCAACTTCTTTTCTCCGTTGAACTGTTGAATATCTATAGTGAAATTTAAACTATGAACTTACAAAAAATAATATTTGAAATTATACGTGTATAATACTCAAATATTTTCTTTAGGATAAAGCGATGAATTGGAACGAAACATTTAGCATGAGATATTTTAAAATATTTGCAGATGTTCTTCATGTTGAGTATGTTTTTTTATACGGTATACGTATATCATATTTAATGTGTTAACATAATTTTACTTGTTCAGGTTACATTTGTTGATTTTTGCAGGAGAGGTAATAAATCTGTATAGAACAATTGTACAGTTTTAATAAGTATTAAAATAATTTAATTTTATTTATTAGACAGACATCGCCATCGGTAGTTCCAATATCAGAGAAACTTACTTGTCGTATACTTCTTCCGTAAATCAGATTCCAACTACATTTGCAATACGTGCTGCAAGACGTTTAGATAAAGCTATTATTTTGGTAAAACCCTTCGATGTAATGGTAATGTCTCAAAAAGCATTATTTTTCTATATATTAAATAACACATATTTTGCTATACGAATCGAAATTTAAAAGAAAAGAAAATTATTATAACATAACAGATTAACTAATTGTTAGTATAAGATCATGAAACACGTGTGCCATCTGTAAATATATACGCCTCCAGTTAAGAGATTTATGGTTAACTTAATTAACAGATAAATATAAAAATCTTTCCTATTAACGTATTAGATATTAGACGTCAACCAGGAAAACTACGTGGCCAACACCTATGCCAGGCACATACTCGAACCCATGTTCAACAATTGGACGATTTGATCTATTTGGACACTGGTCTATATCACATCGAATGTTAAATATTTCGAAACGAAACGTATTTTATTGTTATGTGTAATAAATCGATCTAAAATTTCAATTTTAAACACTGCAAAAATGTAATGATTTATCTTTTTATAATTTTAAAATTTTCATAAAATAATACACACTAGAATCTTTAAACAACGGCCACTTAAAGAAACAGGAAAACATTGTATGAAATGGTCTTGGTTTTCAGGTTACTTTTAATATACAGAAAAACACTCCTTAACAAAAGGCTAAAATTTCTAGACGGTGGTTATTACAGGATTTACTGTATAAACATTTATATTTTAAGAAATACAAAATAATTATGAAAATTCTGTATTTCAGATTTGGATTTGTATTCCTGTTTCTTTCTGTATTATTTTGTTAACTTCGTATGGGATAATGAAGAAACAGACTGAGTATAGCAGCAAAGAAATCCCGAAATTTTCCACCTTATTTTGGATTATATTCAGAAACTTTCTTGGACAAGGTGGGTATTATTACGTCAATTTTTATAGACCATACATTTCACGAATAAACAAGTGAAATGATGTTTGCCAGTAATGAGTTATGAAGACATGATTTTTTGAGAAAATTTATAAAATCGTTGGCATGTATTTTCGAACGGAAATATTATTTGAGTACATTTGACATTTTTTCAGTTTTTACTGAACATTTCTTGTGCCTTTCTATATATGACACGTACAAAAATACTGTATTCTTATTAAGTGACAAATCGATAATTGCCTACACTAAAACGTTTTTATTCTTTTCAAACTACTTTACTACCTATTCCCGTTTCTCATTATATTTATTTTCCAGACACAGATGTAGATCGCTATTTTCTCCTAACGTTTCGTATCATAATTGGCTGTTGGATCCTGATTGCATTTGTCTTGAAATCAGCATACGTCGGCACTTTGCCATCGTTCATGATTAATCCTGGAACCGAAGTTATTCCTCGGACATTTCAAGAATTGATTCACTCAGTGAAAGCGGGGCGATACAACATCACTTCACATGGATGGATGAATGTCGTTATTTTAATGGATGTGTTAAAAATGTAAGTAAGATTTTATTAAAAATGGTGTTAGTTTCGGATTTAAAATACAGCATTATTCTAAAATAAATATTTAATATTATATCAAGTGTTAAAATTANTCTCCTAACGTTTCGTATCATAATTGGCTGTTGGATCCTGATTGCATTTGTCTTGAAATCAGCATACGTCGGCACTTTGCCATCGTTCATGATTAATCCTGGAACCGAAGTTATTCCTCGGACATTTCAAGAATTGATTCACTCAGTGAAAGCGGGGCGATACAACATCACTTCACATGGATGGATGAATGTCGTTATTTTAATGGATGTGTTAAAAATGTAAGTAAGATTTTATTAAAAATGGTGTTAGTTAGTTTCGGATTTAAAATACAGCATTATTCTAAAATAAATATTTAATATTATATCAAGTGTTAAAATTAGCAAATGAAAAAGACCGTATCCCTTAAATTAACTTGAGACACATAATTATTGTTTTAAGTTTTGTACTGTATTTATAAAATTATTGTCGTAAATATACTAGCTGTGTTTACAAAAACTTTGTTGCTTTGTATACCTAGAACAGTTTTTTTATAACTGAAATGGTTATACAACTAATAAATCAACAATTGTCATAGTTTAATATGTTACTACTTATTTTTTAAAGCAATTTAAAGTTACAACAGTAAATTACTTTCTCTATAAGAATAGTAAAGCTGTATGTGTAGTTTTACTTACATGAATTTTTTATTCATATATTTGTAGGCATTATTCAAGACAACAATAATTAAAAACGATATGATCGAAATCTTTGATCAAAATGTCAAAAAGTATAAAGAGTCGGGTCGTAAACCAATTAAAAAAGTACTTAGGGGAACTCACGCCGTGCTAGCATCAAGAGAGAAAATTGAAGAGAGCACAAACAAAAGGGAAAAAGAAAAAATCTTCATTTCAGAAGACATACTTTTTACGAAATTCGAGTACATTCAAATAAATTTAGTCAAAGTGAATTATGCTGTCGAAATTGCTAAAACGTAAGTATGAAAAATATGTTTCTTATCACACAATTCAACAGGGGATAATGCAACTGAACATTGATATTTACGGCATGTCCGTGGAAAGAATCGAGTAGCTATCTATGTTAGACGTCACATTATTTCAGCTAAATCAACTAGCACACTCCCTCATGCTTTAGCGTGTTAGCTTAATGTAACTGGTAATATATAGTATTTATTTTATTCTCTTTCACTGGATGACAACGAGTTTTTCGCTGTTAATTGTCGGTATTGTTTAAAATCTGTATATAATCATGAGTTTACCACTTACTACAGCGTATTTCTTGGTATTGCAATACCAGAACGTGAATCTTCCATAACACTGTTCAGAATGGCGATGATATCTTTAATAAATAAAGAAGAAACCGGAAGTAACTTGCTACAACTAAGCGATCAATGATTGAGGCTCATTGGTAATTATACAAGTTGATTTTTTTCATAGACAGACGGTAACTTTCGGTTGGCCTCTCATCATTAAGCAGATTACACAGAGAATAGACTTCCTGTCCCTACCATATAAATAGAGATAGTTTCTCATAGATAAAACGGCTTAAAACCACAGAAAAAGTTTCTCATTCAAAGTTTTCCCAAGTAGCGCTTTTTTTAGAGGGATTGTCCTTGTGTTATAGTAATTTTTCTGTCAATTTAATTGAAAATATTTCTTAACAATCATTTTCTTATTAAAATATCAATTTTCGAAATTACTTAAACATATTTCAATGCAAATGGCATTGAGCCACGCATTAATAGTATCACGCAATTAGAATGTGTAATGCATCTTCAGAACGTGTTTTATTATATTTATCCTAATTAATATGTTTTTATAATGCGATAGATTGCATATTTAAAAAGTTTCAGTTTAGTACAAGTTTACAAGTTTAGTAAATATAATAATTTACATAAAATTTACATTAAACCTTATATAATTTATATAAAACTAGCTTTTTTTTTAAATGAAATTCATTTTGCAACTTGTAGAAGTATTATTGACTACATAACTATGATTTACCTCAAAATGCCATATTTAAATATAATTATTGATATTTTATATTGTATATAATAGATCAAAAGTCAAGTGATTTATTCAACATATACAAAAATTTAATAGAATATATTTATATATAACAGGGTAAATCTCATTGCACAAAGTGGAATACCTGAGAAAATTCGTAGTGACATGCAAAATAAAAAAACAAAGAAGTGACCTTTTCTACAATGATGATGCAATTCATACTAATGAAGGAAAACCTCTGGAAATAGATGATATTATCAGTCTACTCTATTTATTAGTTATAGGATATTTGCTCTCTTCTGTGGTATTTATTTCAGAAATTCTAGTAAACAAGATAAAAAAGTTCACAAGAAAAAAATGCAGAGTGAGTCCAGTCAATATTGTTAATTAATATTTAATCATATTTGAAAATTTTGGTAATAATACTGTATTTGTTAAAATATTTTTCGATTTCATTAACTTTTTATTACATTTTAGTGTTTTAAACAATAATACTGATAAACTGTGATAAATCAGAGTTTCAGCAATTGACAGTTACGTCTTTGATTTCTTTGCATGTAAATTAATAATCAAATACAGTAGAACCTCTATTATCCGGACCTCTATTATCCGGATTGTTCAAAATAAACTAAAATTTTACGGATTTTCTGATTTGCACTTGGCGAATTACGACACTGTTTATGTACGTGATGGAATGCATAACTTTTTTTGTTTCAACAACGTCTCACCCAGCANTCCTACTATCATCTGTAATAATCACACAGTTGTTGTCACATATTTTACCATTTTTGTACTATTTATTTATTTTAGAATACATAATGTTTGTTTGTACCATACAGCATTTATTTTTAATATTACCGATATGTCATCGAAAAGAAAACGTGTATTATCATTAAAAGACAAATTAAAGTATTTATTTCGATTATCCGGATTTTTCCTTATCCGGACTACCTTCATCCCCAAATAGTCCGGATAATCGAGGTTCTACTGTATTATAAAAGCTACAGTCGGATCTAAACCTTCAACTCTTGATAAAACTGTAGGAAAATATGGAAATCGTCCTATTAATCCTTTAAAAAAATTGTAATTAACTTATGATACAGTACATGATTGTCTTGATACGATAATTTTTTATGAACGTTGGCATTACATTGACTCAAGTTGATTTCTGTTTGCCTTCAAAAAATAATTCAATTCCTATTGAAATTACTATCACAATTTCCATAACATATTGATGTATGGTTTCTACAATTCGCATACGCAGCTTGTGTATATAACATAAAAAAGGCGGCATGAAATTTCTGTTGTTATTGTAATCACAGTAGTTTAAATGAGTTTAAAATTCTGTGCGATATCCCACATATTGTAACTATTTTATTTCTATTGCTTGCGTCCAAATAGCCAGAAACTACTCTAAAATAAAAACCGAATGGCTCGTTATTAAGACTGATATTTGATGCACTTTAATACAAATACTCGGTAACTGTATAAATCATTTAAAATACAAGTATACTTACACTATTATACTCCTATTTCAAAATTACTACTAATACTAAACTCCTATTTCAAGACTTTTACTAGTACTAAACTCTTATTTCAAGACCTCTACTAGTATATGTAATATACTAGTAATAGTCTTGAAATAGGCTTGTCTCGTTTGTAAAGTAAAAAATTTTTCCAATATTCTAGATTCATTAAGACAGGGGACATGACAACATTTTTATGCAAATAACAACGCATAATACAGTAGAGCATCGATTATCCGACCTAATTTGGGACTGGGGTTGGTCGGATAACTGAAAAGTATGTAAAATACATTATTAGTATAGTATATTATTAAATCCCATGTAATTAGTATATTAGTATATCGCTATTAACCTACTTTGCGTTGAATTTTCATCGATGTTAAACCTAACAAAATTTTTTTAAAATAATAATCGTCGCTATTGTATCGTTAAAAATTAGTTTTAAATTATTTTATTGCTCACAAAACAAACAACCGCTTATAATTAGAAAATTAAGTCTCATTTAAATACTGGCCTTCCTTCAATGGTCGAGCCATTGATGCCAGTTAAAAAAAAAAATTAACAAAAATAATATTAAAGTAGCCAAGACATAGCCAAATATTGTAATGCCACATCACTAGCGGACATTTCAAATTTGCCGACTAGAACGGTCGGTTAACCGATGTGATGGTTAATCGGAGGTTGGATAATCGATGCTCTGCTGTATATACTAGAATAATAAAGTTATCAAAATTGAAATCAAATTCCTAATGATGTTTTTATTCTTTTGATATTATTTACTTTCTAATAAAGGCATCCTTGACTTTTGGATTTGATTCATTTCTAAAAATTTGTACAGAAGTCAAATGTCTGAAATTTGAGCAATAGAGTGGCATATTATAAAATGAAAACAAAATCAAAAGATAACCAATGTCTTCATTCAAATCTGATACACCTCAAAACTTTAAACAATATTCCATTTTAACTTCCATTATGATGTTAAAAAGAAACCTTTCACTTAAATGATGCTTCACATTCTAAATTCAATGATTTGATCCGAAGATGAGATAAAAAGCATCTCAAAAAGCATCTCGAAAAGCATTTAATCAAGAAAATAATTCAAAGGAGAATTCTATGTTTACATAGTGAGGTAAATTTTTGTTATTTCGACTTTAAGCAGTTGATATTCACAAGAAAGGTTATAAAGTGAATTCCATTCTTAGAGAACTAAAAAAATTTATAAACTCTCTTATTAAGGTTTAACTTTTTGAAATAAATATGTATAACAATTCATAAATCATCATCTAAAATGTTAAAATCATATATTAAACAGACAAAAATTAATTTTACAATCAATTTTGCTGTTGTTGAAACAAAAACTGGTAGAAAGTGCCTTCATACAATAGCTCAAATATTTTGTTTGTCAGCTGAAAATATGATATTTGAAAGTTTAAATCTGGCATACAAAAGCAAATTAAAGAATCAAAGTATCATGTAAAAATGCATTCTCTTGTACATGATACCTTGATATTTTGTTGAGTTGTTCAAAAGACAAATATATGAAAATTGAAGAATGCTTGTATATGAACAAAAGCATTAAAAATAGACAAAATTAATTTACAATATTAAAATTTCATTATTACAGAAACTATATTAAAGATAAGGTTATCATAAATTTCCAAATTTGATTAGTTTACTTTTATATAAGTAAAATAGTTTATCATTTATCTTTATTTAAAAATTTGAAAAACTATACATTAAAAACTTACCTCTACCTTTGTCTCACGTTCATATATTGTACATTCAAGAATTTGTTCTTCATCATCATCCATATAATGGATTAATTTTGATGGAATATTTGGTACAANTAAAAATTAGAAAATTAAGCCTCGTTTAAATACTGGCTCCCTTTCATGGTCGAGCCAGTGTTGCCAGCTAAAACACGTGAAAATAATATTAAAGTAGCCAAGACGTAGCCAAATATTGTAGCGCCACATCACTAGCAGACATTTGAATTTGCCGACTAGAACGCGGTCGGTTAACCGAGGTGACATTTAATCGGGGGTCGGATAATCGATCCTCTACTCTAGATTACACTAGACTAAAGTATATACCGGAATAAAAACCATGAATTAAATTTAGAAAGTATAATTACTTATTTCAGGACATCATTAATAATAGAGAAAAAAAAATGAAAAATTTAAAATATTTAAAAAATATAGTAATTTATACCATGATGTGAAATATCTTTTTTGATTGTACTTCTCCATTTTTACAGTAACTTATTCAGCATCACTTTAAAATTAGTCATTAACAAATTATAAAACAATTAAACAATAATTATTAAATATTTTATATAAGCACAACTATTTATTTGCAAGTATATGAAGAATTTCAAGTTCCAAATGTTGTAACTCTAAACAGAAATGTATGTTTCATTTGTTATTTATTAATGTGTACATATTATACTAAATATTTAATTGAAAACACAATCAAATCTGTAAATAATGGCTACCAAGGAAAATGTACAATACGGCCCAGCAGTGGCCAAGTGGTTCCGTTCGTGACTCCTGGGAGTTCGGCTGTGGGTTCACGTTTTGCCGCGACAGGCTGGCCACGTGGAGTTTTCCGGGTTTTCTCCACGTCAGTAACGCCTGAATAGGGGCCAGTTACTCTTAAAAGACCTCCCGGAAGGCATTATTTTTCTCGAATAAATAAATATATATAATTACCACCTATGTCACATTGCACATTGCAACTTACCATGGGGTATCATAGGTTAGTGGCTGTCGCCCAAAACAGAAGAAAAAAGACATGCAACATGGCCGTTTTTTGCAGTTAACACAGTACTTACAGGTTAATTGTATGTGGTTTTTCTTGAAGAAAAAGCTCAATGGCCATTAGTCAGAAATGTCCATTATTTAGAGGTTTGATTGTATATGTTTCAAATATCGATATTAAAAATATATGTCATAAATTTTTATATGTACTCTACACATTAAGTCAATAAAATAATTATAATACTGTTACGTTTCTGAAGTTTTGAAACTTTCAACTGAATAATAAAATATCTAATACCTATTTCGGTATCGTTTGAAACATTGTGTAATTTTATCTGTTATGATATTTTATTTTAAACTCTACGACAATTTATCTTAAAGTTCCATACTTTTGAATGATATTCGTATATAAAATTTAACTCGTTTATGAATTCTTTCCGACATTCTTCATTTACACAATTATTTTTTAACGTAAAACACAGATGTGACAACGGCTGTCCTACTATCATCTGTAATAATCACACAGTTGTTGTCACATATTTTACCATTTTTGTACTATTTATTTATTTTAGAATACATAATGTTTGTTTGTACCAAGTTTTTCACAAGTTTATTTTCTAGTTTTATTAGCCTTTCATTATACTTTCTACGAGTACTTTTATAATTTACAGAATTTTTCCATACTTCTCACTTTATAATGTACATTTTTCACTACTATAACTATAATAAAAGCTCCACAAAAGTATTGAGCCGCAACAAATTTACTATACGAAGGTCAGGAATTACAAATATGATGTATCTATATTTGTTATATTTTTAAGGGTTTATAAAAACATAATTTCTCGTAATCCATAATTTTCTATATCGCAGAAAACAGCAGAAATTGTAAAAAAAACTGATTTTAATCACTACGAAAGTATAGATTCGACTAGTAAATGTATGCTATAAGCATTAAAATAGCTACAAATAGTAGCATTAAAATAGCTACAATATGCTACAAAATAGTTTAATTTAGTAATTTATTTTCGTACTTCATTTACTAAT